GATAAAATATTGTAAAGGTCATGTTATTTGTAATACCTCAAGAGGTATAAAAAGGCTTGGTTTTAGACCAAGTGAGAGGGAAGATCATGTTAATTACATTAATAATAATTGAATAAATAATTCTCCCCCCCCGTTGTTAATAATTAAATAAACACATTTTACCTTATTACGAATTTTTGCATAGTTAATAGGAAAAGCCATTGTAAATTGTTCCATGGTCCTCTCTGATGATTAGTGGCTGGCCACTAATCATTAGTTAGGAACCCCCCCCCCCCGTTTGATTGTTCTATGCTGCTTGTAGGGACGCCTCAAGTGGTATAGTTGTAAATATTTCTTGTATATATTTTTTTTATTTATCATTTTTAGGCCAGAAGTACTTCCATTAGTACTGTAGAGAGAGATTGCGCAAGAGAGAGAGAGATTTGAGTAGGCTCTGAGCTGTGTGCGGATACAGAGGCCTGGTATAGAGTATTGAGAACCCTGAGCTGTGTGCGGATACAGGGAGATTAATATATTGGACTTTTATTTATTTTATCTTATATATTTTATTGGACACAACCCGAGCTGTAATTGAATTTGCACGCTCGCAATAGGTTTTTTTATCTGGTATTGTTAGAATTTTTTCTTAATGATAAATATATTTACTAAATGTGTTTGAAATATTTTTCAATGAAGTGCATTTTTTAATTAATGATTAATATAAGTTATTAAAAAAACTTAAAACATAAAAACAAAAGAAAAAAAAGAACAATTAATAAAGAAATTCTGCAGACAAATTTTATTTGAATACATATAAAACTTTACACACTTGTGTTCTCTTACTGATAAGTGTCATGCAATATTTTCATCAAATTTTATAACATCAGAATTCAATTCTAACACATATGGACCTAGTTCATAAACTTCATAATCAAGTTGACAATTACCCTACAAAATAAAATATCCATGATCACATTACATTGGTGATACTAAATTTTGATCCCTGAAATTCTTGGTAATACCAATGTTCACTTTGTCTGGTTTTGTTGCAGCATGCCCCATATACTAAAGAACAATTGTGTGTACATTCAATGTAATACAAAAACTTTTTGAAAAATATAAATATAATAAAAATAGATTTAAGTAATAATGATGATGATGGAAAAGTTTTAGATGAAACTTCTAATGCTGCCACAATTACAATTGATGATGATGATGACAATAATAAACCCTCTAATAATAATAATGAAATTGAAAAGAATGAAAATGAAAATGAGAATGAAAATGAATGAGAATGAAAATGAATGAGAATGAAAATGAAAATGAAAATGAAAATAAATTTGCCAAAGGACTCATGGATTTATTTAAACCATTAATTGAAGAAATGGATTCAAGAGTTGTTGCAGTGAAATCTAGTCAAATTGAATTAAATAAAGAAATTGAGCAATTAACTGCAGGTTTGGCATTAAGAATAATTACTGACCACAAGTCAATTTATATATTTTTAGCATAAATATTAATTGAACTGTTTGTTCATATTGTCCAGAACTTCAATTGTTCATTGAAGCAACAAAACCACCACAAATCCAAACTTCTATTCAAAAATTAATTGATGCAAGAAAACGTTTACTTATTACAAACCAAACTCTGAAATTAGTTCATCATTGTATTATTAAAATGCATACACAACTTAGTAAAGAGAAATCATAAATTCTTTAAATATAAAAATATATTTATTTAACCTATTTATTTAATCAACAATTTGAACTAATTTATATTTAGATTTTCCAACTCTTAAAATGCAAACAACACCATCAAAAAAATCATTAATTTCAATCAAATATTTCACATCTTCAATTCTAACATTATTCAAATACAATCCACCTGATTTTATTACTTTGTATGACTCACTACGTGACTTACATACACCTGATAATACCAACAATTTATCTATTGTACTGTTTATCACTGAGGTTTTTGATAGTTTAATTAGTTGATTCTTGTTATTTTCAAATGTTGATAATAATAATTGAGAATTTATTATTTCTGGAGAATTAAATAAAATTTTTGTTGATAATTTTGCCTCATTTAAACCTGATTCTTTTTTAAAAATTAAAAAATGTCAATAATAATAATATTAATAATTTATTTAAATCTAAATAACACTTACTTCCATGTACCAATTCTGTTACTTCAGATGCTAATATTTCTTGTCCATAATGAGTTTCTGGTGATTGCTATATTAAAGTAGATATATATTTATATAAAATAGTATAAATAAATTTATACAAATATCCAGATATATATGTATAGGACTTTTCAATGGAAATGAACCATACTCCCAAAAATGCAGTTTTGAGTTAGATCACCATTATATGTGTAGGAATTTTTTGGCTTAGAAACCATGTATACTCACTTTGCATGATGATATTTTCAAAATCAATAACAAAAAAATTGCTAATTTTTCTCAAAAATCTATTTTGTAAAGCATGGTTCATTTTTACTGAAAATCATTTATATGTATATTTACCATATGTTTTTCTATAATTTTTTTAATTTCTGTCAAATCCAAAAGTGTAAACATTTGAAGATATTTTTTTAAATCTAGATCAGTTACTTTCATAAAATACTGTTTTAAAAAAATATGTGAACATAAATATTAATTATCCATAATAAATATAATAATAGTGATGATGATGATGATGATGATGATACCTGATAAAATTCATAAGGAGTTGTCAATTCATCATCTAACCAAATTGCATTACCAGCTGATTTACCAAATTTTTCACCAGATGAAGTTGTTAATAAAGGCATTGTTAAACCAAAAGCAGTTGATTGTTTATCAACATAAACATCAACATTATTAATATTCTCAGATCTCTTTTTATTAATTAAATCTATCCCTGATGTAATATTTCCCCATTGATCACTTCCTCCCAACTTTTATAAACATACAAGTAAATATATGTAATTTCAATAACAAAAAAAAATATTTATATTGTATTTATTGTTATTTTACCTGAATAGTGCAATTGTGTTTATGATAAAGATACCAAAAATCATAAGCTTGTAATATTTGATATGAAAATTCTGTAAAACTTATTCCTCCTTCATTTTCCATTCTATTTTTGACGCTTTATTTAATTATTTATTGATAATGAATTATTAATTGATTAATTGACTAATATGAAATATTATATATCATTGATATTTATATTGATACCGATATTGATATGGACTGATATTGATTGATATTGATATTGATAGATGATTTTTATAATGTAAATTTTTTTTTACCTTTCTTTCATTAACATATTATTAACTCTAAAATATCTCCCAATATCGCTTAATAAATCTAAAGCTGGCATATTCTTAAACCAATTGATATTATTAAGTATTAAAATATCATCATCATTTTGATTATTATTATTGAATTCATGTCCATATTTTTTTGCATAATCTCTACTATTATTAAAGATTTTTCTTGTTTGTATTTCAATATAATTAACATTTTCTTTTATTGTTGATATTGGTAATGTTTGTCTTTCTGATTTTCTACCTGATGGATCTCCAATTAATCCTGTTGCTCCGCCTATCTTTTTTTTTTAAAAAAAATATTATATATATATACAATAAAAATATAAATTATTAATAATAAAAGTTACCAAAGCTATAATACGATGTCCACAAATGTTAAAGTGTAATAATCCAATTAAAGTTAATAAATTTCCTAAATGTAAACTTTTGGCTGTTGGATCTAACCCACAATAAATTGTCCTTGGCTTATCGATCTTATTTAATATCTCTGGACTTTTTAATGGTAAAAGAAAAGTTTTTTAATTTAAGAGTTAATGGGTTAATTAATCATTATTATTTATATGAAGTTAACCTAGTAATATTATTTATCAATTCGCGTTTTTTTAATTCTGAAATTGGATTGATGTGTAAAAAGATTTTGTTTTTTATAAATGTTTTTTTATGTAAAGGGAATGTATTTTCTTGGAAATTTTTACAATAATTATCTCTTATAAAAAAAAAGCAATATCTTGCTTTTCTCATATTTATAACTGGCCGTCAAGCAATGTAACACAGAAATTTTTAGATGGATTTATACAGAACCCTGGAAATTTTTTACTGGGATCCTGAAAAATTCGATCACCTTACAACCTTTCATCCCGATTTTATGGGCAACTTATCAGCAATTCCTCTATATTGCCGAAGAAAAACAAAAGTTGATGAATGTAATGCAAGAAGATTCAATATTGGTAAAGAAAACAGCTAGTGTGGTTGCCAGTGGGTTCTGTTTACCTTGGTTCAAACAATGATCTTGGGTATCACTACTCCTGGCCAGGGAGATTTAACAAAATAACCAGCCATTCGTTATATGATTTTCCACTTTTTAAATAACAAATATTAATGCTGTTATTACATGTTTATTAAATATTAATTAATTAATTACAAATATTAATATAAACAAATGATGAATTAACGAATGAACGAACGAATAATTTAATAATCTAATCTTCGCCTTTGTCAATAATCATTAAAAATTTTCTTACAAAACAAAAAATTTTTTTCTCCTCATCCACCAATTAGAATCATTGGTCTGTTTTTTGTTCTAGCCAATTCAAATGCGTCAGAATGCTGTTTTTTCTTATTTTTAACAGCCACTTCAACAATTTCCAATAGCTCTCGATCAGAAACATTTTGTCGTAATAAATCCCGAAGGCTTACTTCTGTATTTCCAAACAAACAAACCTTCAAGTTGCCATCTGCGGTAATTCTTAATCGATTGCATGTTCCACAAAAATGATCTGACATGGAAGTAATAAATCCAAATTTTCCAGTAAATCCAGGTATACAATATGCCTAACAATTGTCAAATAAAACAAAAGGTAATCCATCAAGTTAATAATTGGCAGAATGAAAGTGAGCAAATGACGTTTTTCATCAAATCATTGTTTTTAAACAAAAAAAAACCTTTGAAGTATCATTTAAATCATCAGGTAACCTTCGAATGGTGTGATATCTGGATTTAATATTATCCAATAACTCTTTATATGGTATAAATTTTTTCTCATTCCATTTGTTAGCTTTTAATTGGAATAAACAAAATAAAGGATTATCAATAATGTATCTTTTATTGAAAATAAGATTTACATATATATATATATATATATATATCGCCTTACCATTAAATGGCATATATTCAATGAACCTTACATAAATAGGCTTGTTTCGCGTCAACTCTATAAAATCTAATACTTCATTTTCATTTATTCCTCTTATAACCACCGAATTGATTTTTAAAGGTTTAAGGCCCAATTCAATAGCTTGATCAATTGTTTCCAAAACTCTTTCAAGGCCTTTATTTTTCAAATTAAAAGTTTATTTTTTCCCCTAATCAGTATATAACTTCTTTATATAGATATAGGATTTGTTTACCTTTTCTACGTGTGATCAATTGAAATTTGAATGGATCCAAAGTATCTAAACTAAGATTCAACAGATTCAATCCATTCTCAACAAGTTCGGGCAATTTCCGTTTCAATGCTATTCCATTAGAAGTCATAGCGATCGTCTGTAAACCGTGTGATTTTAACCTCCCCAATTCGCCTAATAGTATATATATATATATATATATATATATATATACACACACACATATATACACACATACATATATATATGTGAACATGTTTATATAAATTTAAACATAAAAACAAACAAAATATCTCATACCAACTAATTCAACAATGTCACTTCTTACAGTAGGTTCACCGCCTGTAAGCCTGATCTTATTAACGCCTTGGGAGACAAATATTTTTGCAATTCGTATGATTTCCTCGGTAGTTAGAAGTTTATTGGAAGGTGTAAGGTCAACACCATCAGTTGGCATACAATAAGTACCTATTGTCAAAATAGTAAATTAGACAATTATAGACGATTATTAATCGAAAAAATTATTTCAACTTACATCTTAAATTACATCGCTCTGTTATTGAAATTCGAAGGTATGTGTGTCTTCGTTCAAAACGATCGGTCAATGAATTGCCAAAAGGTCTATTTTTATCAAGTTCTGCGATTTTTGCCTTTACAATCAATATAAAATGACCGTTTATTATTATTATTATTATTATTATTATTAAATAAATAACAAGAATTTACTTTTTAGAAAAAAAAAGAGTTTATGATATTAATACTTGTATACGAAGTTTGGAATTTTGAATGTATGATGAATGTTTAGAATTTTCAGTTTGTTGTTGTGTAGTAGTAGTAGTGGTAATGGTAGTGGTAGTAGTATTAGTATTAGTAGTAGTAGTAGTAAATGTTTTAAAAATTTTGATATTATTTAAATTCGAATTTCTAATAAAGATTTTTTTAATAATGAAATTTGAATGTTTCATATTTCTAAAGCTGGGAAATTTTTTTTACGAAATGTTTATTTGTTTAAAGAAAAAAAAAATCTATATGTAGTGACAAAAGATAAGAGAAGATATACAATCAGATAATTTAATTAGTTAATCATGAATAGATAAGATAAAATAATAAAATAACATTGTATTCAAAAATTGGCGCTTAATAATAAACAATATTTAAATAATAATAATAATAAACAACTGGTTACGCAAGAATGCATTATTTAATCAATACATTATCTTACCAAAATATTTGGATGTAAAAGAATTTCAATTTATTAATCACAAAATAAAAGCTAATCTCACACAGAATTTGGTTATCGTAATGATACTGATTAAACTTCGAAATTTTTAGCGCAAGTTATTTTTTTTTATTATTAGATTTTGTTTTTTCACACATCGCATCCATCAAATATGTGTTTTTCTCCGCACACTGGTAATGATTCTGGGAATTCGTAATCATCATGTTTCTCTGTACTACCACGCAAAGATAAGTATGGACACTTTTCTACCACTCACTACCTTGATGAATTGATTTCGCTCTCGGATAACTCAGAGATGTAAATGTTTTAAATGGAGCCACTTGACTTGTCGAGGTTCAGAACAGGTTCATAGTTATCATCGATCAGTCGTTCAGACATACGAGGTAAAATTTATTGTAACTAAGTCACGTGTACGTTCCAATTTGACATCCATCCAATTGAAGAATTCATATTAATCTTTTGAGCAGATTCTTGGAGAAATGGTTTATAATATTTGGATTTGAGTATCAACTAGACTTGAAATGATACTTGTATTATAATAACTTGCTTAATTTTATCCATTCTGTTTCTTCAATCTAAAAGTTATTTTGCGCAAATTTACTATCGCTAGATCAAATATCCTTGACTCATTTTGTATCCTTTTGTATAAATAATACCAATGTAAGATTTCTTTCGTGTTATGTACTGACCTCTGAGATTTGCTTATTCAAAAGATGAATCGGAGATTCGAGTCTCCACCTCTTACTCTCCACTTCTTCCGTATCGGTCCATTCCGTTCCTCGCTTTGATTATTATCATGGCCAGGTTCTGCAGGAGCAAATATATCTTCATGGCCTTCTGATTTATTTGACTTCGAATTTGAAGAATGAGAATGTGGTGTATTTCGCTTAATCGAAACCTCAGATTTCGATTTTGGTAGATACTTTGAACCCGGGGAAATCTCATCCAATCCTAGAACCTTCATAAATTCGCAACATTTATTACTTTCTGGCTCCAGTAAAGCTCTTGCTGAACGCAAGTCTGTGTGTATTTTACACTTTCTATACTTTTATGCGAAATTTCACTTGGTTGGATATTTCTCCAAGAATTTCAAGGTCATATCCAAAGCTATTGAGTTATGAACTGGCAATAGGCTTTTGTTTAGGACAGAATGGTCAATGCAAACAGACTCGCATGTGAAAGATGCCCTCGGCTCGTTACAAACTCGATGGAAAAATTTTGATCCCGTCTTTTTTGAGATGGAAGAAAAAAACACGAAAGAAATCTCTGATTAATAATAGTTTGTTATAAAATTAATTAAACTCTATATAGTATATATATATATATAAGTGTTTAAATGAATACAAACTGCATCATCAATATCAAGTAAATTTGCCGAGGTTGTAAGTTTTTGCATAAAAAACGATGATTTCCTAAAAATTATATATAGTAACTGTATTAATCCCAAAGTAGCGAGTAAACTAAAGAGTCTTTAATACGAGAAAACAAAAGAAAGACAACTGATTGAAAGGAATTTGAATCAAGTCTACCTTTATACAAGTCAGATATTACGATGTTGCAAGTCTCAGCGAGAGAAGTTGAAGTTCGAGAATACGGAATCAGTAAAGATAAAATAGAAGAGTTTTTTGCTCACCATGAAAGAAATTTTCTCCTTTAATTTCAACGGGGCTACTCCTAATTTAGACTTTACAAACGAAAAGTGATCATCCAAAAAAATCAAATGTCGTCAGCGGAGGGAGGGATCTGCAACTGGGTTTGATAAAATTTTGACCCCCTGTGAAAGGCATTAAAAACTAATAATTAATGTGTATCAATGATAAAATCCTTTGGTTGGAATGACCTAGTCTATATTTATGCCAGTATAACTTCAAGGCAAAGAATATTACACACACACACATATATAGGTAACTTTGTTTATCATGTTAAAGAAAAGTTTTAAAAAACCTTCACGTGACCGATCACATTTATTATCCAGAAGATTAATATTGGAGACAATATAATGAAATCGTTTGGAATTTTTATTGAAAACTATGTTAACGTCGATGTACCTACCTGGTCTGATTTATGATTTGTAGGTTAAATTTAATTATAAGCAAATTTACTATTTACTATTTGTACATATTAATATGGAATAATAGTCTTTATTGTTGGCACACTGCAATTTTTTGTGACATTATATTCACTTTGATTTTGTTACAGCATGCCATTATAACATAATTATTGATTTAAAATGTTTGAATAATAATAATATAAATAAATAAATAATTTAATTTAATTCACTAATAATAATATCTACTAATAAATACATTTAATTTACTACTAATAAATTACAAAAATATTAATTAGTTAATTATTATGTGAAAATTTCATCTCCTTAATTTTCCAATAGGTATTTCGTCATCACTCTCTATAATTTGCTCTTTTTCGTTATTAAGCCTTTTGTCTTTTGTTGTGTTTTCTTCTTCACCACCATCAGTAACAATCCTATTCTTACTATTAGCTTTTTCTGAATCTGAATCTGAATCTGAATCTGAATCTGAATCTGAATCTGAATCTGAATAAGCTGCTAAAGCTTCATCAAACACTGAATCAAAAAAATCATCAACAATACTAACGCCATTATTCTCACCGTTTAGATTTTTTAAAGATAATATTTGTCCTAATGGTTTGTCATCTTCATCCTCTTCTTCCCTCGCCGCCTTTTCACCAGATTGTTTTGACAGTGATTTTTTAGATTTATTTTTTCGTTGATATGATTTTGATCTTTCTTTATCGTTATTGAATTTTTTGTCATCATGTGATGGGGTTTTTGTAGAAAATTTATGGTGTAATTCGGGGGCACTATTTTTATTTTTAGATGATGATGAATTGGAATTGGAAATACTCAACGAATCTTTTCCGTCTCGATGATCGCTTCCACTGCTTTTTATGTTTCGTGACCTGGCCGAGGTTAGGTTCTGATGATCAACTTTTGATAGTCTGTTAGAATGACTTCTAGAAGATCTATTACTGTGACTACTGTGACGATTGCTGCTGCTGTTGTTGTTGGATGTAAACAACGATGAATCTTTATCAACTTCGATAACAACAGAAGAAGAGGCTGGTACAAATTCATGATTATCTGAACCTAAACTTAATCTTGGTGACACAGATTTTGTGTTTACAATTCCACCTTCATCAACATATGATTCTAGTTGTTTAATTTTGGATTCTCGGTGAGTTTTATTATGTTTTGAAAGTCTACTTGATTTGTCGATACTAATTCCACTACTACGATTAATGCTATTACTACTATTGATATTATTATCATCGTCTAGATTTATCAAAGTGTTTTTTGGTCTATGATTATCATTATTGTCGTCATCTTGATTATCGCCTGAATCTAAAAGTGAATTAGGAGAAAATATTGAATCTTTTTTCCCAGGCTTATCTCTTGTATGGGAATCGCCGCTTTCACTTGATTTATTTCTTTTATAAACCAGGTAAAGAGAACCCACTAATGCCAGACCTAAAATACAACCACCTATTATAACGGAATATTTTGGCCAAGTACCCATTGGACCCAGTGAAATTTTATCAGAATTCTGATTTTCATTTAATGAAGCCAAATCTTGACAAACAGCCCTTTGTTCACATCTATCACCAAATATAGTGACATTTACATCAGGTAATTGCATATTAGTTGTACCATTGTTACTTTCTTGTGGGAATTTTACTAGGATTTGTATAAAGAAAATTTCCTTGTCTCTTGATTCACACTCATAAACAGGTTCTAACGTGCCAGTTTTTACAGTTTTTTGACAATGAACAAATGAAAGAGGAGATGATGGATTGTCTTGTACTATATATTTTGGAGGAAGTCCAATTTGAGCTATATATATATTATTGTTTTTTTTTGAGCTTACATGAGATGCTGTAAGGTTTAACAAAAATAAATCGGGAGGTTGTTTTAATTCAGACGATAATGAGTAGCAACATGATCCCTCTAAAAAAGTATATTATTGTTTATAAATAAAATAAAATAAATATTGTTAATATAATAGTATAGCCATTAAATTCTATTTTAACATAAAATAAAGAATCTTTTAGTATGAACAGTAAAGATCATAATAATTTACAAATACAAACTTACGTGCATCAACAGCTTTGAATAATATTATAAGCAGAGAAACAATTATTAAAATATTTGATGTTAAATTATTCATTTAATGTATATATAAGAAAGATCGCGTGTACAACTTTAAGAAATAAAATTAATGAATTTGTTTAATATTATTATTATAATACAAGATAATAATAAATGTGCATTTTTGGCATCATTAAAAAAACCACTTTCAAAAAACACTTATTATTTATGCGTTAAAATTTAATGTTTATGGTGTAAATAGTAGTACGTAATTTATAGTGACTAATTAAAAAAACCGGCTAGTGTTCACGATTTTTAAAACAGCTATTAATATAGGCATGTGACTAATTTGGTAGTATAATAATAATAATTTTTGTCGACCAATCTATGCCCCAAAAATAAAAATAACAAACATTTTTATTAGTCAGAAAAACAGAAAATTGAATTTAATAATCTTACTGGATAAAACGGATGAAGATGGAAATTTTAAAACACTTTGATGAATGAAATATCAGGCCATTGAATGTACCTCCAAATTAAGGGTAGGGGAATCACGTGTCAATTTATATGTAGATCGGCGACTGAATATACAAGTTGCATAATAAAAAGTATGCAAAACACGTCCAAATTGGCTCAATTTTTCTATATGTAGATTATAAACCCCTTTAATTTCTTGTAAAATTTCAAACAAAATAATTTAGTAAAAGCTTTCAATTTCTTTGAAAATCATATATACTCATCCCATAGTAACTGATACTCATCCCTTAGTAAAAGGTATTATTTCTTTCGTATAAGCTATTCACTCCAAATTATTACTAGTCTAAAGTTACTTACTATTTAGTAAAGTTTCATTTACTTAGTAAAAGCTGCCTATTTCTCAGTATTACTTGGAGAAGTCTAGACATCACTTGTAATTTTTCTAATTTCTTATGTTTTATATGTAAAAAGAATATAGTGATAGTAAAGTTATAATTTAATAAAATTTTATTTATTCAGCATTTGAAAATGTCAAGTAAACATTTATATAAATAATTAACAGAAAATAATATTAATTATAAATTGTTCTTTCAACAAAATCAAACTGTTTTACTTATGATGATTCATATCAATTGAATGCAATGGAAGTACATCATAAATACAAAAAAGAATAAATTCATTTGATTATCTATTAACCTAAAAAATGGAACATGAATTACTAATTATCACTAGTTGAATTTATTGAATAATGTATCTTATTTTAATTGTAATTTTATTGATGATAATATATGCAAACATACACATGCATGTGCATACGTAATTATTTTAATTATTTACTTGAGACTATAAAATACATACTATTAATTTATTCAGCATGATACAGTGTGATTCAAAAAAAATGGTGGTTGCTTATTTGAATTTATTAAAAAAAAAGTTCTCATTTACTTATATGATAAATGTGATTGGATATGATTGTTTACATGATAATCAGTCTTCGTATATGTTATTACATTGTTTTTTCTTTACCTTTTAACCTTCAAGCTTTGTAAAGAATGGTTAACGCAAAATTAGAAGCACAACGTAAGACTATTTTTCATTTTTGGATGAATGGTATCCATTCACCAAAAGAAATACATGAAAAAACAAACATACCTCTCCGTACAGTTGAGAACAACTTAAAAAAACTAAAAGAAACCGGATCTATTGAACATAAAGGTGGGAATGGTCATCCATCGAAGGTTACACAAAATCTATCACGTTCCATTGGGCAAGTTGTTCGCCATAATACTGCTATTTCAACACACCAACTTGCAATTAAACTCCAAGTAACACACAATGTGTCTATTTCGCAACCTACTGTT